GTGTGTGTGTGTGTGTGTGTGTGTGTGTGCCATGTTTATCCTCTCCAGTTCAAACACTGCAGCCCTCAGACTGCTCAAACCAGATTAATCCATTCTATAAAGCAGGATCAGTCAAACACAGGCTGCCATTTGTGAAACTTTTATTTGCTTTGTAAAAGTTTACAAAATGCAAATTTGAGGTTTATTTTTTCTGGCAAATTTTAAATGAGTTCCTGTCAAAAACTACAATTCTTATACTCTGCCTAGTCAAACAAAACGTTGACTTAATTTATTTTTATTTTATTTACCTTTGCAGTCTGAGTGAAGAGAAGTGAACAACAGGCTCTGAGGGGACAAACAGAAGGGTGATGATGTTTCTGCACACTTTGCCAAGTTGGAGCACTGAYACTGAGTAGAGGTCACTTCACGCTTTAATGATGGACATGTTGGTGGAAATAAAGCATTTCATTATAAAAAAAAACATTAAATATTAATTTTAACATAATAAGCAACAGAGGAAGGCACTCAATGAGTGTGCTGACAGTTACACAATATTTTCAYTAAAATATTCACCCTAATGTTTTAGTGTTCAACGGTTCTCACAATGAAAAAAAAAACTATTTTTACAAACAGAATAAAATATTCAGACATCACAACCTGTGATTGACTGATTCTGCTTTTATCATGGAATAAATCCCCCCAGGGTCTAACTGTCTAAGTGCTGTAGCTTCAGACCTGCAGCTGATAAAACACAACAAATAGCTGAAATCCCACTTTAGAAACTGTCAAATCGGAAGCTGACTTCAGTGTCGGGTGGCTCCTGCAGGATGCTGCCCATCCCAGTGTCCAACAGAGACCATCAGCCTAAAGAAGAGAGGAACTCTCTCAGCCCTGTCAACAAACCTGACATGTTTTTTTTAACAAAGTCKGTTAGAAAGGTGGTTTTAGAACCAACAACCGTGGCTGCAGCTCCGTGGTTAATCCTCCATTCCTGCAGGAAACAAAGCTTCCTATTTTCAGAAAAGAAACCCGCCAAAAATATGAACAGATGTAAACAAGGCAGTGTGAAGTAAACAAGTGTTGTTTATTTAACATGTTTACTCAGCCACATTCAGAACTTGTAATTTATTTTGTTTTAGTATCGRCCTATTGATTGCATTTAAAGACTTTGAAAATAAATATAAAATGTACATTTTGAGCTGTTTATGTCAGACAAATTACAACAAATACAAATTAAAACCAAACCAACCTGTCCTGACTTTTAGACCGCAGCAGTGGACAAGAAATAACGTCATCATCACAAACATATGAATTTATAACAAGATTATTTCAGTAAAACAAAGACACATTATTAACAGTACGATTATTGTACTAATATAAATAATTTATAGAAAATGACATTATAATAATGCAGTCTCCTGGTAGACAACATGTTGTCTTCTGTTGTCAAAGGTTCCATCTTTGGACATCATCACTACCGACATCAAGTTATTATTATTATTATTATTATTATTATTATT